CAGCAGTTGCATGAGAGAGGGGGGGATCTGGCAGCATACCTTAACCAGCCGGTTGAACATCCCCTCCTCTCCCTGTCAGCGTCCATCACCAAGATGGCCACTGGCCGATATCACCAAGATGGCCGCGCATGTGCATGACGTCATCACACACGTGCGTGGTGATAATGTCACGGGGTGTCACCCGGTACCTGCTCCAAGTGACACCTGGTGTGGCCAGGTGCTGATTGACAAGCTACGGGCTTATATACCAGCAGTGACGATGCTAGCATGACCAAAACATTAATATGGAGACATTCAGGACAATCTCTCATGTTTTGATGAATCTTGTCTTGTAGGACACTGATGCAGGGAGATAAGATTGGGGGCTTTACAATATTCTGGGCCGACGACGGTCTAGACACGGGAGACATCCTGCTGCAGAGAGAGTGTGAAGTTCTTCCAGAAGACACAGTAAACTCCATATACAACAGGTTCCTCTTCCCCGAGGGGGTCAAAGGCATGGTGAGTCCATAGATTTATCATCATCAATGGAGGGAGTCAACAAGATATCTAAAATCTGGATCAACTATAAGTATAAGGTCCAGAATAAGGAGGTTTTTCAATGTATTTTGTTTTTTCTTTATTCATGTTTTTATTGACTGAATTTGATAGATTTGTGTTTTTTTCTACCAAATGTAACTATGTTAGAGCTCATAAAACATATCCAAACTATCCATATCTAAACAGGTTGAGCCAAGCTCTTGCTGCTGATTGGATGTTCAATATTTATTTTCAGTCAACTGTCTTGATTCAGTGTAGCTGAGGCCAAGCAGGGAAGAAGCAGAGCGCTGTATCTCAATGTTAAAGGAGAACTATGGGGTTAAGGCTTTTCCCCATAGTTCTCCTTAGGGTAACGGGAGGACACAAACTAGCGTCCTCCTGTCACCCTAGGCTCAGTATACCACGAGCTGCAGCTCGCGGTATACTGAGACGCCGGAGCGGATCCCGACATCGATTGTCGAGATCCGCCCAGCTGCGTGAGTGACAGCTGGCTCTGCCTATCTAGAGGTAGAGCCAGCTGTACCCGCCCCCTCCCCCGTCCGTTCCGCCAGTCAGCGCTGGCGGATCGGAGCGGGGGGAATCCAGCCTCTCCCCTGTCACGGCAGAGAGCCGTGACAGGATCGAGAGGTGAGCGAACGCCGGTATATGTTCGCTCACCTCCCGATCTACTGAGCCGACCTGTGACAGTCTCATTGTCACAGGTCGGCTAGAACTATGAGGTGAGTGAAAAGCACTCCCCTCATAGTTCTCCTCTTAAGGGCTAGTTCACAGCAGAACTGCGTGCGTCTGCACAGCTGCAATATGATGCGTTTTGCCACAATTTTACTTCGATTGTACCGTGATTGGTGCGTTTTTTTAATGTGCTTAGGGGCCCACTCACACCAATTGCAGTGCATACCAGAGTGGCAGCTGCTGGAACGCACAGCAATCACTCACAAAACTTTCCCCTTCGCTCTGGGGCGGGAGGGGGCATGGCGGTGCATTGAAGTCAATGGAAGCTCAGCCACGCAATGCAAAGCTATGATCGCACTACGTGCTTTATCTAACACAATGGTGTGAATGGGCCCTAAAACAATGTTTATCCTCCTGGGATCCACTACCCTCCCCACCTACCATGTGATGGAGATAAACAAAAGCAGACTTGTTTGAAGTCCAGCCAGGATGACAACCATGGCTCGCTCCATAGATACAATGGAGGAATGAGTGTAGCCACTCTAGGACAGGAAGTGTGTTATTCACAGGATCACCAGGTGACAATCATGGAAAAAAGGCTAAAAAACTGCAACATATTTACATTTTTCTTTTTGGGTTTAGATGCACTTTAACTTCCTCTTTGCCTAATCATGTACATTGTAAAGTTTTGGTGCTTCTTTATTGATAGGAAGCAAAGTTTAAGCCATTATCCTCCTTTTGATGTTTTTTTTTTGTAGGTAGAAGCCGTAAGGTTGATAGCAAAGGGAAATGCCCCGAGGATCCCTCAGCCAGCAGAGGGCGCCACTTATGACCCCATACAGAAGAAGGAAATTGCCAAGGTGAGGCTGTTATCTGCACTGCATCCCTAAAGCGCCAACATTTTCATTCACAAGTCCTGCCCTGCCCCCTCCTGATCATACTTCTGAGATAGCCAAAGAGTGCCAATGGTATCTTTTAAGGGTCTGAGCTGGGTCAGAGAAGGACTGGCATGTGTAAATGCACCTGTGGGGCCGACGGGTAAACTTCTGAATCTGAAGACTGGGGAGGGCATTCTAGAGGGTGTAGAATGGACCTATAAAGATGGATCAAATCCCGCTCCACCCTACAAGGGCTAGCGTTGCTCTTGTACCAAAAAAAATCATGTTTTTTTTTTCTATTTGCAGATCAATTGGGATCAGCCGGCAGAAGCAATCCATAACTTTATCCGAGGGAATGACAAAGTGCCCGGAGCCTGGACTGAAGTCAATGGAACTGTGAGTGCCAAGTGCTGACCTGACGTGAAGCTCGCCCACTCAATACCCCCGGCTAGGTGAAGGTCGATGAATGCGCCGAGTCAGCGGTTTTCCTGTTGTAACGCAGGAGCGATGCCTCCACATTGAAGGATGTCGCTTGTGACATGCTGCATGGCTGGAAATATTTCCAAGGACGCTGTGCCCAGGCCATGGCAATAGATTTTCCTTTCGGGGGCTCCATTTATCCCTTGTGCATTGACCTATCCCTGCGACCTCTCCAGCTCTGCTGATGCCCTTTGTTTGCAAGTGTCCAAAACTGCACATTGTATCACGATGAGATCTGAGGTTAACCAGATTTTAGTGTTTGTGGCGGCATGACCCAAATTGTCACCTAAACCTCACTCTTCCCCTCTAGATCATGTCCCGGCATTCATTTTTTGTTTAAAGAATAACTATGGGGTCAGGGCTTTTCCCCATAGTTCTCCTTAGGGTAACGGGAGGACACAATCTAGCGTCCTCCCGTCACTCTAAGCTCAGTTTAGCGCGAGCTACAGCTCGCGGTATACTGAGACGCCGCAGCCGGAGCGGATCCCGACATCGATGTTGAGATCCACCCAGCTGTGTGAGTGACAGCGGGCTCTGCCTATCTAGAGGCAGAGCCAGCTGTCACTCACGCAGCTGGGCGGATCCCGACGTCCAGGTCGGGATCCGCTCCGGCGGCGGCGTCTCAGTATACCGCGAGCTGTAGCTCGCGCTAAACTGAGCTTAGAGTGACGGGAGGACGCTAGATACCGACCTGTGACAGTCTCATTGTCACAGGTCGGCTAGAACTATGAGGTGAGTGAAAAGCACTCACCTCATAGTTCTTTAATTTTACCTTGTTCCTCTAACTTGTACATACCCCTGTGACATCACCAGGCTTGCAAAATTCTTGCAAGGGTAACATCAGTTCCTATTGATGTAAGCCTAACCCCAGAACTCCTTCTCCCAAAAACTTTTTCCCTGCACACAAGGGGATATTCGTACACAAGTCATGTGCCCCACAAATCTCTGTCGCCATTCATTCTGTGTGAAAACAGGCAGAAATTGACATTCTTAGTATATTTTCTTTTCTCCTCAGCTCCATATAGTGGAATGATGCAACCACCATGTGGCCTACTTCCTTAACAGCAGTTGAGATATCTTCCGCATAGGGAGTGCATGGTTTTCAGTGAGTCAGGTGACCCATAGACTTACACTGTGAGAAGAAGCAGTAAAGCAGCGCTGCAAAGCAGGAATCAGATCCTGCATATGTAATGAGCAAATATGCAGTGGTGTCACAAGGTAGGTGCGGGGTGTACGGCCAGCACCAGATGACACCATCGGAGGGGGTGACACCAAAATGGCTGACAGTGAGGCTGCGGGCTTTGATGCGGCCTCTGCAAATATGACTGTCCTCATGTATATATAATTACAGTCATACATAGAAATACTCACTCAGTCCTGCGGCTCACCTCTCTCCTCCTCCACTCTGGCTCTGGTATGTTTCACAACATCCTCACATCTAATAGACCTGTTACTAGATGTGGTGACCTCACAGGTCAGACCGCCGGAGCCAGGTAGAGAGGCTGCACGGACCGGTCCAGCAGCAAGGTGGGACCGAGAATCAGATGAATATTTCTTCTTATATTCCATCCCCTAGACCAGAATGAGCTCTTAACCCTTGCAGCGCAGGGGTAGCCACACCGCAGGGGTTAACTTTTAAAATTCCTGGCATTCTCTTTTAAATATGATTTACAAAATCTATCTGTGTTCATAACAAACACCTTTTTTTTTTGCCCTTTTGCATTCAGAAACTGACGTTTTTTGGCTCGTCGTTCACCAGTAACGGGCCGAATCCCGATGGGCAGCCTCTTGAGATTCCGGGGGCGTCTAAACCGGGTGTGGTGACCAAGAACGGGCTGGTGCTCTTTGGGAATGATGGAAAATGGGTGAGGATTCTGTAAAAATCTCTTATCTGGTGAAAATTTTTATATTTTGATACATTTGTAAATTGTGACACTTTTTGTTTTCTGTTGGATGAAAGCTCACAGTGAAAAACATCAAATTCGAGGATGGAAAGATGATTCCGGCTTCACAGTATTTTAAATCTTCTGACAGCAGCACCGTGACGCTCAGCGATGAGGAAAAAGCCATCGCCAATGAGATCCGGGTAAGAGGAAACTCCAAATAAATGTCAATACTATGTAAACAGTGTCACCTAAGGAGAACTATGGGGGAAAGCCTTAACCCCATAGTTCTCCTTTAAACACCATCTAATGTTATAAAAATAAATCTAAATATGTCAAAATATGTATCAAATAATTTTTCATAATATTATGAGAATTATTTAATATATTTTAGCTCTGAACATATTTATATTTGTTTTTATAACATTAGATGGTGTTTAAAGTAGAACTATGAGGGGAGGGATGTTCACTCAACCTCATAGTTTGAGCCGACGTGTGGCAATTAAACTGTCACAGGTCGGTTTAATAGATCGGAAAGTGAGCGAACACATACCGTCGCTCGCTCATGTTCTCGATCATGTCCCTCCAGAGAGACTTGACTGTCACGGCTCCCTGCAGGGATTCCCCCGCTACGATCCTCCAGCGCTGACTGGCGGAAGGGACGGGGGAGGGGGCGGGCGCAGCTGGCTCTGCCTCTAGATAGGCAGAGCCAGCTGTCACTCACGCAGCTGGGTGGATCTCGACAGTAATGTCGGATTCCGTCCCGGCTGCGGCGGTCTCAGTATACCGCGAGCTGTAGCTCGCGGTATACTGAGCTTTGGGTCATGGGAGAACGCTAGTTTGTGTCCTCCCGTGACCCTTAGGAGAACTATGGGGAAAAGCACTGACCCCCATAGTTCTCCTTTAATGTAATGAGTTCATAGACACACAATTGCATTTTCAGCACCACACTGTTAATATAGAATCATTTGTTACAAAGTATATATTACATAGTGTTACCTGCTGCTCTATTGGAAAAGTAAATACATTTTAAATGTATTGTCTAAATGTCTAAAAATGTGAACTGATTTTTAAATCAGGATCCTGTGTGAATAGAGCCTTGCAGTTCAGATTTTGGGATTGTATGGATGGATTGTAGTCCAGTGTCCCAGCACAAACCTAACCTATGTGGCTCATTCCAAAACATGTCTCCAAACACAAAGAAAGACCAATCCTACCTTCTTGTGATTTGTCTCAGGCTGCGTGGAAACGGATCCTGACCAATATCACTGAAATAGAAGACTCTACTGATTTCTTCAAGGCCGGTGCAGCCTCCATGGATGTAGTAAGGTTGGTTGATGACCGGCTAATAGAAAATAATGTATACCGGGTTTCATTCAGTTACATTTCACATTTTCTACAAGTTTATAAATAGATGATATGTATAATTTTTGAAATTGTATGCATACATTGTGTAGGGGGTATTCTATGTCCCTGACCAACAATACTAGGCTTTCTAATAAGAAGCCAAACTCCAGCCCTCCAGCTGTGGTGGAACTACAAATCCCATGAGGCATAGCAAGATTCTCACAGCCACAGACATGACTCCCGGAGAGAGATGCATCCTGGGAGTTTGGCTACTCCTAGTCTAGCACTACCTGTGTGTAGCAAAGTCAAGCCAATGGCCTTTCTGGCTCAACACAGCTAGGAGAGAGGAGAAGGAGAGGACGTGCCCCCCTTTCTGAGCCATTTTGCAGTCTGTGTAGTGTAAATTCCCTGCTATTCAGTGGCCAGCTGTTATCTGAGCTTTTAGGAAGCTGTTGCTGTGGCTTCTGTACGGTGCGCTAATCTCTCTCTTTTATCATCAGGTTGGTGGAAGAGGTGAAGCTGAAGTGTAACGGGCTGCAGCTACAGAACGAGGATGTCTACATGGCCACAAAGTTCGAGGAATTCATTCAGATGCTCGTGAGACGGCTCAGAGGGGAGGGCGCAGAAGAAGAGCAAGTCATAGATTATGTAAGCACGCAGGGCCGGTTTAAAGTGAGTCTGTTGTCTGAGGAAAAAGGTTAAAATACGCTTTCCCTGTAAATAGGCTCTCTGTGTGGAAGCAGTGGTCTCTCTGAAGAGGTCTGACATGCCCCTTTGCTGAGTCAGTGCTAAAGTTCTGCAATCAGCAAAACTCAAGTTCCCTGCTGATTGGAGAGCTCTAGCTCTGACTCAAGAGGAGGCATGCCTGGACCTCTGCAGAGAGACCACTGCCATCCCTATGATGACAGTTGCATGTTCCAGCCCAGCCTGGTTCCATTCACTATGCTTACACAGACAATATTGCTACGGTATGCTGAATAATGTCAAATAAATTCTGTTTTCACAATCTGCGCTGTTATTTAAGGTGGAGAAGGACGTCAACAATATGAAGATCAGAATGCCTCATCAGCTGTTCATCAACGGCCAATTTGTGGATGCCGAGGGAGGGAAAACCTATGACACCATTAACCCCACCGACGGCAGTGTAAGTGTGACCTCATTGTAGCCCAAACGCGAAGCGTGGTTTACTTGTGGCCTCACCGATGTTCTCTCTACACAGGCCATCTGCAAAGTGTCACTGGCCCAGTTGTCCGACATTGATAAAGCTGTGTCTTCAGCCAAGGAAGCCTTTGAGAAGGGAGAATGGGGCAAAATGAACCCAAGGGACCGAGGTCACCTGATCTACAGGTAAGAGTCATCCTCGTCTTTGGTAGGTCTGTACTAAGAGGAAGGTTGTGGTCCTACACCATGTATAACAAGCCCTTGCAGCTCTGTACTGCCTGGTGGGAGTTGGGGTGAAGTTCATGTCCCATGGAAGCCAAAAATCAGGTTTTCTTCTATAGGAACAGCTTGATTTTATGTGGGTACTTCCCCCTTTGACAGACCTCCTTGATGGAAAAGAGACAGGACACAACCAGGGGTGGTGTTCTGTTGTCCACAGAAGGGCTTCTGAGTGTGTAGTAAGGACAAACATTCATCTCGCTTGAAATGCTTTTAAATCATGTCCTGGTTAAGAGCATCAGATACACCCAACATGTTTCGGGGGAAAGGACTTCTTCTTCAGTGCTTGAACAATGGATGAAACCAGAATGGAATACACTAGGAAGCCCGAATTAGGGCTGGATTAGGGCTAGGGTTGCCACCCGTACGGTTTTCACCCGGACAGTACGGGTTTCGGATCCTGTGTACGGGTGGGAGGCGGGCTCCCACCCGTACACAGGATTCAAACGGCAGACTTGCTCACCTGTCGGCGGGTGGTGAGCGGCGGGCGGTGAGCGCCGGGCAGCGAGCGGTGAGCGGCGGGCAGTGAGCGCCGGGCA